ATATATATATATATATATATATACTCTATTTTTTTCCCCAATACTGCCCGATTTTGATGCTTTGCACTCTGGTCCAAGAAGCGCTGAAACCTGGCCAAAAATTTCCTATTGAAACTCTTTTTCTGGGAAAGGAAAGGTTACAAATTGAATAAATGGTAAATGAAATGCACATAAATATATAATATCAACTATCATTGAAAATAAATAAATATTTACATTTTTACACTTCAGGGCTATATTGTGCGATTTATACTACAGTTCTTCAATTTCATCTTCGCTGCTTGAACTTCCACTTTTGTCTTCTTTTAAGACAAGGAGAGTAAATACATCCTGGTCAAAAATTTTTGAATTCTGTTTTTTCTTGGATGTATGTAAACTTGTAATTAAAAGATCAGAAGACACCAAGAGCGAATGAATGAGATCTTCATTTGTAGCTTTCCTTGAGAACTTCCTTGTGTACTTTTGTCTATTGCATTTTAATTGTTTGTGAAGAGCTTTCAGGGCTTCTGACAATTTTTCTATTGGAACAAAAGCTTCTTTGATAATTTCTGCTCCATGTAGTAATACCTTGTGAACTATTACCGGTAAGTACATAGTACCAAGGATATTTTTGTTGAAGCAAACGAGCAGTTTCTAATGCATAAATTTGAAATAATTTCTCATCAATTTCCTTGCCACAGGACAATGGCTGAAGGATTACAGCACATCATCTTATCGCCTCTTGATCAATACCAATAATTCTTGACGAAATACCAGGTGGTCTGAAGAACCTCCTAGCTATATTTCCATTGTTTGATGTGCTGCTACCTACTACTGTTCCGTAGATACGAGGTCTGGTGGATGTACTGGACACCTGTCCACAAATAATGTAATTTTTCGTCCTCTGATACCCATTCAGGAGTTCTTATTGAGTTGATACTTGGTGGGCAGTGTTCTAATGTTTTGAAGCAGCGCGGCTTCGCAAATTTCCCGATTGTGATTGGTGACAAATTTTCCATCCCATCACTGTTCATAAGAGCGCAGTTACGCGGTCTTTGCTCTTCTTAGCCTCGTGACAATTTTCTCCCTTGAACACCATCGTCTTTTCAGGTTTTAGGGAGTAGAATAACCCTGTCTCGTCGGCGTTAAAAATATCTTTGGGGGCATACTGCACCACCAGTCCTTTAAGAGGTCCCAACTTTCATGCCGACACGGTATCTGCATAAACACATCCGCTTTTGCCGCACAATTTTGCAGCAGATCTCAAGTCGCATCTTGGATTTATAAAGCCACCCGGATGAAGCTTTGAAAATTTCTTAATCGAGCCGCAGTCCAATTTCATTAGTTTTCTCGCACAACAATGGGCCGCTTAATGGTATATCTTCTGCGCAATGCTGCTGAAACCTCTGAAGCAAAGCATTTTCCAAATCTTCATATTTTCCTCCTTGAATTTGCATTCTCTTGCTACTCGACACCCCTAACACTCGTGCCTTGTCCTCTATTTCTTTCCCCTTAGAAATGAAGTTCAGCGTCGATGCCGATATTTCCAGTTCTTCATCAATATCTACTCTTCTATTGCCACTCCGTAACAACTTTTAAAATTTTTATATTATCTGATATTGAAAGGGGTTGCCTTTTCCTAGCACTCGTTTTCGTTTAATATCGCGGACGCAAAACCAGATAAAGACGAACTGCCACAGCACAGCGTAGCAAATACGAGATCAAGGCGAGACGTCAGCGACATGAAGTCTATTCACAACTCACATTCAGGAACTGCAGAACAGAAAAGATGAAATGCACATGGACGTCCAATATACAGTCGACTACAATTATACTGAACTCAGATATGGTGAACAGGTCACTGGTTACCTTCACGTACACTACAAATATGCACAAGATGATTCGGTTGTAGTGAACTTCGGCTATTGTAAACGTGTACATGTTCCTGAAAGAAAAAAATCGCCTCAGCCACAAATTCCAATGCTGGTCAGCTTGGAAAAATATCGTCGGCCGTGGGTCATCATCGAAGATGTCTCCCCTGAGATGGAGATTAGCGGACAAGCAATGGGGACCTTCCTGATGACCTTGTGCGACTCTTGTTTCACTGTGGAAACGACGGCCGTGTCCTGCGATGGCCACAACTGGCGGTGGCGCCCCCCCCCCTCGGGTGCTTGCTTCAGTTTCAAGCTTGATGTTACTTGAGGTTCCGTGGGCCAAAGCACAGTGTTCTACGTGGGCGACAGGAAGCGTACGACAGCCGCAGCCCCGCAGTCTGGGGACACTCGTCGCGCCGCGCGCAAAAGCATGAAAAACTAGAAATCGGCAGGCAAAATAGCCTTTCAAAAATGTAAAATGGGGATTTAAAAGTATAAAATAGTAATTTAAAAAGGAACTATATATTTTTCTTATTCTTATTTATGTTCTTGTGTAGAAAGTTTCGGAAGAAAACATAAAATAGTTACAGTCATGAAATGTTTGCTTTCATCATTGTTCTGAGTATCTTCGTAGAAATCCTTTCTTTCGTTGTTGGGCAATTCGAAAAAAAAGAGGCTGAAACACTGGAGCAACCTTTTTGCTTTTCATTAAATGAAAGTTGATACCTAATGCTACACAGTATGATCTATTTTCTCTCAATTTAACATAAGTGAAAATATATGCGATTGTTTTAATTGCCATGCATAAGACAAATGTAACCAGGGGATTTACACAGCACATACTTTCTCGCATTATATCTAAAAATATATTTCAAAATTTGCAATTTTCAAAAATTCAGAGTTTAACGAAAATGAGACCTGGGCCACTCTTTAAAGTGTCCCTTCTATACGTGGAAAAAATTTAAGCATGGCCTTTTTTAAAGAATTTATTTTTTAGAACATTTTATTTAAGACGAAATCTCTGTATTCAATGTTTTCTTTTAAACTGTTAACTTTTTGCAATTTTCAATAATACAGGATTCGTGAGAAATGAAACCGGCACCAATTTTTATATCGTCCTCTGATACATAAGAGGAGAAAATTGTAAGAAAAAATTGAGCCGGTTTTTTAGTAAAATAAATGTTTAAAAAATATTGGAGTAAATATAACCACTAGCGATTTTGGACGTTTCATAATAGGAGATAGCCGCACCGTAGTGCCAGTAAAACGGAACATGTATCGATGGTTGTTCGGTTTCTCTGCAATCTACAAGATGGAAAAGAAAATACGTACGATTTTTTAAAATATTTGATTAAGGATAATTGCATTTTCATCAATAAATACGAGAATAGACAACATTAAGGCATTTATAGGCGCTATAAAATTCTCATAAGATACCCCTATGGCCCTAAAATGAAAAAGTAACCTAAATTCCGTTTTCCATTGAAGCGAAAGAAAAGCAAATAGGCAAAATTTCGCTGCTTAGTAAAAATAAATCACTGTTGATTTTTTGCTGATTTTACATTTTATTGTTGTAACAAATTATTACTAAGGGATGGAACCAAGTGAGATATACCCATCAACCTCATTACACATTACAACTACATAATCACATAGCGCGAGTTCAAAGTTACATTTGGCGAAGTCATACATTCAAATGGAAAACGTGTCTCGAAAAGGGAAAATATGCATTTATCTCACAATACGTACTCATTTCCAAAATTGGCACCTTAAAAATCCATTATGTGAATACATTGAAAATGAAACAATTAATATATCGACAGCTTATGATTCTGATCAAAAGAATGAAATAATAGGTACCTTAAAAATGCATTATGTGAATGCATTGAAAATGAAACAATATATC